GTATTAGGCAAGGAGATCCATTGTCCCCATTCCTCTTTACCCTAGTAGCTGATGTGTTGAGTGCCATGATTTCAAGGGCTGATGCTAACAATTTGATAAGAGGTTGGAGGATTGGTAGGGAGGAGGTGGTGGTCACACACTTACAATTTGCAGATGACATCATCTTGTTTTTTGACGGGGAGGAAGGGGAATTACGGAACTTAAAGAGTCTAGTGCTTCAATTTGAAAGGAAGTTCAATCTTAAAGTGAACTGGGGAAAAAGTTGTGTGGTAGGGGCTCAATTTAGGGGGAGAGGAGGTGGATTTCCTAGCTAGGATTTTGGGGTGTGAAGTGGGGGGCTGGCCTTTACAATATTTGGGGTTACCACTGGGAGGGAACCCAATGGTTGAGAGTTTTTGGTACCCTGTAATTGAAAGATTCTCCAAGAGGTTAGCAAATTGGAAGAGGAATTACATTTCTTTAGGGGGTAGGATAGCCTTAATCAAGTCAACCTTGGCCAACCTGCTAGTTTATTTCCTGTCTACCTTTAGAGTACCAATGAAAGTAGCTAACCAGTTAGAGAAGATAATGAAGGATTTCTTGTGGGAACCAGGGGATACTAAGAAGGATTACTTGGTGAAGTGGGAGGTGGTTTCTATGAGTAGGGATGATGGAGGCCTTAGGTTAGGAAAGGAAATATAAGATTAAGAAACACGACTTTGCTGGGGAAATGGATTTGGAGACTACTGATGGAACATGACAGACTTTGGTCTAGAGTGATTGTTAGTATTCATGGATTGGTAGATAATGGCTGGGATGCAGGACTCGACCCTAGGGCTTCTTAGTGTTCTCCTTGGAAAGCTATTCAAGGTATTTTGCCTCTTATGCTTCCTTATTTCAAATATGATATTTGGGCTGGAAATAAAGTCTTGTTTTGGGAAGATGTTTGGGTTGGAAATAAAGTCTACTTCACAACCTTGTCCAAAAAGGGGAAAGACTTTAAAACCATTTGCTGCCTGTCAGCAAGTCATTTCCAGTGTTTCTAGTCCTACCCCCGTTCTATCAGGTATGAGTGTCAATTCTGTTTTAGGTACTGACTTGTTTGCTATGCCTGTAACAGATATCCCARCTTCCCATCYAGGAGKWTCTRAKGCAAGAGAGAGGGTGATAGTGGAAGGAGGAGAGAGGGTGTTGGAAGGAAGTAGTAAGGGGGAGGC